GCACTGTTTGCTACTTCTTAATTGTAATTTTGCTACTGTTATGAATTGCTATGTAAATATCTGATATGCAGGATATCTGATATGCAACCCCCAAAGGGGTTTTGACCCACAGGTTGAGAACCCCTCCCCTAAGGGAACAGAAGACATGAAAACACCACATGCCTAGAGAAAGATCTCCAGTGTAGCAGATCCTGATCTAGATTGTTGTATAAAGGTGCTTAATGGAATAACTATTGGCAATGGGCAGACAAGAAAACAAATATCTAATTATGTAGAAAGTCCTGGCTCACCCTCTCATTTGGGTTTAAGTACTAAGAAAACCAAATATTTATCCTTGTTCACAGTCTTCTAAGCGTTGGAAGCATGTTTGTGTAAGAAAGAAATAAGGGAGGAAGTAGAAGAGAGGGTAGAAGTCTCTGGTCCAGTGGAAGCAGCTAAAGCATAAACATAATGTCTTCATTGGGCAAGCTAAAGACTGCTTCAGTCAGTACAAGAGATGATTTGGAAAACTCTTCAGTGTGACACAGAAACCAACATGAGAGCACAGGAATCCTAGCAGAGGTCCAGTTCTAGCCCTGTGGATCTATTCTCAAAAATGTACATCAAGGGAAACTTCTACATCAACTTCTCACCTCCTCCTTCAAATCCGAAAAGATAAAAGAAAAAAAAAGTGCAACCTAATGGGTCTTTGGTGTTACTGGGCTCAACCTCCTGTTTTCTCTGGGAGTGATTTTTAAAAAGCAATAGTAAGGGCTTCCTCTCCACTGGGATTCACTATTCACCCATGTTAACCTGGAATGTAAACTCATGATCTTTCCACCTCTGCTAGCCAAGTTCAGGGATTACAAGCATTCACCACTATGCCTGGCAACCAATCTATTTTTAACACTGGTCTCCTCAGGAAATTGCACAACATTTCACCTTTCCAACACTTGCCTTTCCCCAACTTTCTTAATTTCTAATATAAATTGCCTCTATGCTTACACTGCTCATGTTGCAGTTTGAAGTGTTTGGGACTTTTCATGTCCTAAAGAATACAATTTCATGGAATGACAAGACCAGCAATCAACTGCATTCACAATGTGAGGTCAGCCAAATGATGAGACATTTCCAAACACCTGCAATTCATCTTCACTGAGTCCTGGATTGCAATTCACAACTGTACAAAGGCAAGTTTTGTAGACTCAGTTTTTAAGGATGTCTTAATGCTCTTTTCTTTTATATCAACAGGAATAAGGTCTACTTAGTTTCAGAAACTGTGATGAAGCTAGCTATTGTAGTTTTTCTGAGGAGAAAGAGAAAAATCTCCATGACTGTCTATGATAAAAAGATCAGATTCATTTTTAAAGAGTGCTATAGGTTGACTTAGTAGGAAAGAACTTTGTAGTCAAAGGAAATTTCTGAGGGTAGCTTAGCTCTAGAATAGTTTTAGGAGAGAGAGAAACAGAGAGAGAGAGAGAGAGAGAGAGAGAGAGAGAGAGAGAGAGAGAGATTCATTTCCTGTTCACTCCTCACTCCCTCCTTTCTCTCCAACAAATCTACTACCCAGGCTTCATTGGTTTTTTTGTTTTGTGCTTCTGTCATTCTTTTCTGCTTTTTCCTTGAATTCATCTGCTAGGTCATAAGAAGTACTACCAGTGAAACCTGAGGAACAACATTTTACTCTCTACAGTAGCTTTGTTTGTTGCCAACAGTTATCCATAGCAACGTGTCATTTGTAAACAGGCTGGCAATAGTGATCTGTTCTTTGCAAACTTTGACATTTTCTAGATCTGTCATCTCTACATTTCTTACTATGGTGTTGTCCTGATGGTTTTTAACTGTAAGAGTTGATCTTCCTGAAAATTCCACAATGTTGAGCTGATTTGAAATAGTTTTAGTTGTACACCAATGGACAAAAGATGAACATACAGGATTTCTATCGGTATCCACATGGCTCCACCTGAAGCAACTTTCAATCCATGTATTCAAACCATTGTGTAAAGACACTTTGTTTTTTCAGTTTCTGCTTTCCCTATTTCTCCTTTCTGGGTATACAAGCCACTGTTTTTAAAATCATTTTCTTTTTCCACTATGCAAATCACTACAATTCCTGAAAGGTGCACTTGTGCTAAATTTTGGCATATACACAAACATCTTGCAAGTATCTTGGCTAGTTAGAATTTAAGCGCTCATCTCTAAAGCATTATAGTTGAGATAACTTCTAAGAAACTTGTTTTGTTTTTGACATCAATCACAAGTTTCAGATCAGCAAAGGGGGCTCATATACTCCACCACTGCTCTACTGCTTCACAAAGAAACCAAAGACTAGGAAGTAACAGTCAAAAACCACAGAAGAGACAATGTGAAGATTATATGTATTCCGTCGAGTTCATAGCTTTTAACATTTCTTTAAACACTCAAGTGTCAACCTCAAATTTGACCTATTTAAGGTTGCTTTCACCAAACATGGGAAAGATTTAATTCAAAAGCTACTTGAAAGTGTCTAGCCACAATCAGTTTCATGTAAGATCCAAGGGAAGCAGCCTTCTCTCATGATCTTGCTGAACCCTCCATTTCATTTCAGCTTACTTTGTTGACACAGCCTCTGAAGAAGGAAAAACTGTCAAGGGCATTGAAAAGTCTTTTATCACTAAGTGAAGTTTCTAGTAAATAAATTACAATGAACTACTTTAACAGAATTAAATATTATCTCAGGTTCGTTATTCTTCTCAAAATGTCTACTCCTAATGCATACGTGAGACAGCACTGATAATATGGAATAATCATAGAAACAAATATATGTATATAGTCATATACAACATTTCTATATTTATGTTTGTGCACTTAGAGGGAAACAACCCTGACCCTAGTCGTTAAGACCTTATAGTAACTCTTATTTGTTCCTATGTAAAATTTTTACTTTAAAATAACTAGTATACTTGAAAGCTGCTAAACAAAATAGTTAGATCTATATGTGTTCAAAAAGAATAGAATAACCTAACCTGGGGGAAAGAGCATGAGTTAAAATCCAGCCTGGTGTTATTTCTGCTTTGAATAAAACTTATATATATATATATATATATATATATATATATGCATATATATATGTTTACCTCTAAAAACAAATAAAATAGACATTGCTAGATTGTAAATAGAAATTAACACTTACTCATAAAATAGCATGCGATGCAATAAAATGTAAATTATATTCCAATATAGTAAATATCTGAGAATATTAAACTGAAAGAAGAGATTCCCTTGGTTATCAAGAACTAAAACAGTGATTTCTACATCTTGATTAAACTAAGACATTAATAGCAATCCAGTTATATTTCATCCACGTTATAGCAAATCATAGTTTGACTGCTCTAATATCCTGATAGCTGGTTATCACACAAGACGAAAGCATAATTACAAGCGAGCTCTACATACCAAAGTAAAACAGGTATTGATTGAACTCGGTTTCACATTTATTTGAAGTATAGAAAATTAACCTTCCAGGTTGGTTACCTACCAGCAGTGATTGGATTCCAGCAGTGTCATCACCTCTACGAACAGCTCCAAATTACAGTCCCCTGTCCCATAACTTAAGCACAAAAGTCAAGGATCTGTTCGCAAGTAATGAATGGTTAGAACTGCTTGGAATCCACTTAGTTGAGGAAGGAGAAAAGAGAAGTCACTCATTAGGGGCATTTCCTGAACTCTGGTAGGAATTTCAGTTAAGGAAGAAGAAATGACACAGCAGTTTCAAGTTAAGGCGACTTCCTTTCTTTATCTGAAATATGCTACTAATTTGAGAAACAGCATTCCAGCCGAACTATACCACAAAGCTGTGGCTACAATGGAACACTCTTGTCATTGATGCCATGGTTGCCCCATAATGAACATTTTCCCCAGAATTTACAGAGGCCATGTGTGGTTGTTATCAGAGTGGACTAAGACCCCACAGTTATTGCAACACATCTGCTTTACAAGGGAGTTTCTTCAGAACACTGACCTTCCCCACTTTTCAGTTAAGAATTGCACTTTGGCTTTGAGTGCTAATAGACTGAGGTTTTGCTTTAAGATGATTTCCCAAATTTCACATAATGCAAGTTTTTTTTACATTTCAATTGCTCTCAAAGACTTCATCATAAATATTGACCAAGAATAACTGATCTTCCCAAGAACATTAGATAGAAATACGAAATTGAATTTCTGAGATATATGGTCCTTCACTAAAAAGGAAACAAAAAAAGCAACACCCTTCCTCTTGACCCTCAGTGCTGCTCTCAAATCAGCTATCACCTGACTTTGTTTCTTCCTTTCTGTTTTTCTTTCTTTCTTCATCCTTGCTTTCTTTCTTGCTTGCTTGCTCTTTTGTACTCAATCAGATTTGATTGATTTGAGAGGCTAAAATATGACCTTTTCGCCAGAATCCCAAATGATTCTCATAAGAATCCAGGTCAGGAGCCAGTAGATGAGTCTAATTTTGAAACCATAATGCAAATGTCTTCTATAAGGAAATTTGATACACATTTCCTGCAAAGAACAAGATAATAAATGTTGTGTGCTTGTCAGGGCACATACCATTTACAACTCCTGGGCTCTATTACTGTAATGGCATACTTGCATAATCCACAAATGGATGACCACAGTAGCATCTGTATTTCTTTGTCTCCATCTGAAAGCTCCAGTGAAGTTTGTGCTCGCTGCCTGAGATTCCACATTTTGCGTTCTCTTTAAAACACTTCTGATCAGAACACCTTAGCTAGCTTCATCAATATGACCACTGGCAGTCATTTTCTTCAGTTCCAATCTATATTGTACACCAACAGCATAGGTTATGAAGCCTTTGATATCTTCTTCCATTTCTGTCAGTGAACACCAGTTATATAGAGTAGTAGGCCTCACCACCTTCATCTTCATGCTCTTTCAGGGTAGCACACTCAGACACTCTCCTGTTCCCTAGGTGTTCAGATGTCCTTTTCCATTTCCTTCTTTTTTCTGATTTCTACAATTGAATTATTTGCAGGGTTTTTCTCCCTTCTGCAACCTCAACAAAACCTCTGTATGCTGGAAAGGAAGCTGACATCCTCTAAAGTATGTAGGCTTTTGCTGTGGTTCGGATCGCAAATGTTTTCCAAAGGCTCATGTACTAAAATGGCTGGTCTGAGTTTGGCACTCTTAAGAAATAGTGGAACGCTTGAAGAAGCAGGACTTGGTGAAAGGCACTGGTTGCTGCAGACATGCTTTTGAAGAGTTCTGTGGGTCTCCAGTGGACATCTGTCTTACGCTTCTGCCCTCAGGCCTTGAAGAGAGCTGATTCCTTCTGGCAGCCATTCTTTCCACAAATCACCTTCCAAGCCACAGAGTGGTAAGTCAACTAATCTTTGAACTGAAACATCCTAGAAATGTGATCCCATATATATACTTTCCTTGCTATTTGATATTTCTTCAGGTATTTGTTTCAAAGGCAAAAAAAGGCAGCATTTCTATGGAAGTAGAGATCAAATATCAATTACAGCTGCTGTGACCACTTGGAATAAGTCTTGCCACATACTAGATAATATGAATAAAAATAATTCATAGTTTTATCTATATTAGCCTCCCCAGCAAAAGAAGTACAATACTTATTCATTTATTTATGATTTTATTTTCTAATTTTTTTAGGGAGGTGCACTCATGAAATTTCAAAAACATGGTCACCTAAACAAGACCTGCACCCTAAAAACACCAGATGACCCACCAATATGGATAGGGGAAAGGCCCAACTGCTTTTGCCTTCCAAGAGCTCCAACCCAGTTTTTAAGGATAGATCACTCATTGCTTAGATTAGTTCATGACAGTAAACTAAGGATTTAGTAAGAAAATATGTGAAATAAGAAATAAAATTGATGCCAGGATGAGAGTCTTCATTAGACCAGGCCTTTGGAAAGACAGAGAACAATGAAAATGAAACAGAGAGAGAGAGAGAGAGAGAGTATGGTTTGCAATGATAATGAAGGCAATGATCAGTAAGATAATTTTTAAGTCAAAAATATTAACAAATCTGGTTATCATGTAACAGCTAGCATAATTTGTAAATGGATTCTGAAAACAGTTTTACTTAAAATTCTTATGTTAGGCCTTCAAAAGCAGGAAAAACATATATTTCCTCTTACTTCAGTTATTACCTTCACTAAACTCTCAAAAATAAAAGTCATTGAACAAAAAGTCCTTCTAATAAGAGTTGATTTTTTTCAAGGAATTTTGGTTGTTATGCCTATAAGGATCATCTCTTGTGTGTGCACGTGTGTGTGTGTGTGTGTGTGTGTGTGTGTGTGAGAGAGAGAGAGAGAGAGAGATTTGTGTGTTATACATATCTACTAGTTACAGACAATAATTACTTTATTGAAAACTTTCAATATTAAGCTCTAAAAAAGAACTAAAGTCTCCTAAAAATTTAAACCAAGGAAAAGATAAATCTCATAACACAAAGTGGAAAATCAATATGACCCCAGAAAACAAGCCAAAGATAAGATATAATATATAGAACTGTCTATTTTATGCTATTTGTTAATGGAAGTTATATCTAGAAAGATTAATATTATACACAAGAGCACTGTCAAAGAAATATCATCCAAAAGCTTGTTTTCATTAGCACTTTGGAGAAGGACAGATGTTATAAAGCTAAAAGCTTTTTTATATATGTGTTGAGAACAAATGTTGCTTGGATAACACTTTGAGAAAAAACAGTAAATGACAAATCTAGTATTAGGTCCAGGTTGAGTAGAACTAAGGATATTATTAGTAAGTAAACTACTTGTAAACATTTAAGATATCTATAAAACTGCACTAAAACTTTCTTGACCAAACTGATGAAGTTCTTAACTAGAAACACTCCCTGCAGAAGTGCTACTGGATATATTCCACGCATGGGCATTGCTATATAATGACAGGAGTGGGGTGTTTTCACTTCTAAATATTTTTTGTTCATGTCAACGAAATCTGAGACCAGTTCATTGATTTCTCAACAATCTCAGCAGAAGTTTATATACTCACCATTGTTCCATTAAAAGCAGTAAAAATACTTAAAATAAGCAAATTACTTTCCAAAGTTTTCTGTCCCCAACACACCAGTTTTGAAGAACAGAAATCTCTAGAAACCCTATGGCATAAATACAAATTAATTTTCTATAATACCAAGAATCTTAAATTTTCTCTAGAGCTTATATTTAATTGTAAAATTCACTAGAGTATTAATTACACAAGGACCAAGTCCAACTAAAATTTTGGAAGTAGACAAAATTAGTTTTCAACAATCAATCTCTTTGCCTTTTTTCCTGTTTCCAGACAGGTGCCACGGCCCTTTATCATGTCTCCATTTTTCATGCCATCTAAAACTATTTTTAGAAAACACTCTAACTCATTACATACCTTACCCACTAAGGAATAAGCGAGTAATAAAATTACAATAACCTCCCACAAAGACATTTATATTTCAAAGTTAATATGACCTAAAAGAAGAGAAGGTAAACTTAATGTTGGAAAGAAAGGGTTATATACAAACATCTTCAAACAAGCAAAAATCCTCATGTAGTCTTCCATTTAGTCTGAGCATGGTATACAGAGACTTGACACCATGTTATCTGTAAAATAAATAAAAGCGTATCTTCTTTCTTTGTAATGTTAGGGTATTCCAAATTAGATGTCATCTCCCATGATTGACAATTCACTTCCCTAGAGATAAGAAAAAAATGACAAGTCTTACACAATTATTCCCTGTCAGAAAGGATAGGGTGGAATATGCTGTCATAACAACAACTCCAAAAATTAGTCTGTGTATGTGTATGTGTGTGTGTGTGTGTGTGTGTGTGTGTGTGTGTGCGTGCGTGTGCGATTTGTAATGGTGAGAAAGTTGTTCCATCTGGTCACTTAAGGACCTAGAATGACAGACACTCATCTCCAGATGTGATTTCTGCACACTGGAGAACATGGAATATGGAGAATAATAAACAGCTCTTGAAGATTCTGTTGGAAATGATAGTCTTCATTTCAGTCCATAGTTTATTGTTCAAAGCCTTCAATGGCTCTACCTGTTTCTAAAAACAATGAGCTTGCAACCCTAACGCAAGCTAAGAAAAGAGAACTTAGTTTATTTAATTGTAACAGTGGTTATACAGTCTGACTTGTTGCTAAGAATTGCATTTTTAGCAAATGTGGTTCTCCTATAATGTCATGTAGTGAACAAACAGTCCATCAATTAAGCTGTAAGCATGTTCTTCATCCTTTACAGTAGCTAAAAGTAAAAGGTAAGAGGAAAAGATCATATAAGAGTTATAGAAAGATGGGGGGAAGCATGAAGAAAAACATTTGAAAGTGATAGTAGCATCAACTGGAGATCAAACTACAATTAAGAACTCTATACATGTGTATACTGCAAAATGCTATAAAAATGTGTCAGAAAGACGGTTCAGTGGTTAAGAGTGCTGACTGAATTTTATATGCTCTCTTTAAATACGTATTCCCTTCTTGCAAAAAGAATTTGCTATGACCTCCTGCACAAAATCAGCACCAAAAAGAAACATGAAAGTAGGAAGCTGAGAAGAATAAGATTGTTAGCAGTAATGATTGGGTAAGAAAAAGATTTCGGGGTATGAATGTGATTAGAATAATATTCATACATGTACAATATTGTCAAAATTATAACAATTTTTAAAGACTATTATAGAGATAAAAGTGCACATGCTGCGATGTGAGTTCCTGAATAAAAAACATGGAACCTGGAAAATTCAAATATATAATCACAACCCACAATACTGGGCCTATCCTGACTATTGGAAACTGTTTTCTCTTTCCGCATCACTTCCCTAGCTTTCTCGCCACCACTTAGGAATGGGCTCAATGGTTTAACTCCAGATTTCCATGCTCTCTACATGGCACATAATTTGATGAGTGTTAAAATTTTTACACTGTGTGGTAAAGAATAAATATTGTATTTCTTTTATTTGAACAGAATTAAAATGGAAAAAGATGCATTTTCACAGCTGAAAAAAATGTTAAGTGGATTCCAATTTAGTAGAAGTTTCCATCAAGAAAAAGTCAATTCTCACTTGTCCATTATACAATTCATCCATCCCCAGCATTGTCTTTGTCTTCACACAAAGACCAAAAGGATTCCTTAAATCTACAAAATCCTACCATTTAAGTAAATGGATACTATACTGATATTACTAAATATACTAATTGCATTGATTGGTACATGAATGGCCTTATCTCTTAGTATAACATATGTACTGTAACCTGTGGTTTATCCTTTCATTTTGCTAGTGACAACTTATGAGGAAGTGAGCCATAACTAATAATAGTAAGAAGGCACAAAAAAACAAAAGAAACATATTAAAAAAGGTGAGAGACAAAATATCAAACATTTACGATATAAACACAATTATATTTAAAAATATCGGTCTAGTTTCAAGCAAGTAGAACCCATGTATTGAATGCCAGCTCTTCCTTACATGTGCTATAACAGACAGTGGTTTAAGAAACAAAGCAAACTAAAATCAGACAACAAACCTTATAAATTGTAAAATTAGAACACTGAAAAATTAGACCTCTTGGAGAACTTGCAGTGTAAATAAGAGAGCACTGACTATTTACAGTGGCTTCGACAGAGTATCTGAAAAGCCCGAACAAACAATGGCATGCTCAGAAGAGGGTTTTTTTTTTTTGGCTTCTGTGTCTAGAGCTTGCTAAATATGTAGAAAACTGTACTTCATCGTACAGTTTCAACACAAAGCAGACAGCATTTTAAAAAGTACAAATGGCACAGCTTTTACATTCTTTGCTAGGCTTCTTCTGTATCTTGGTTGGGATCTCTGAAACAAAGAGACATGACCCGTGCATACTTGTACACATGCAAGCAGTTTGGCTGTGGTTGACTTTAACCCCTCCAGGACAGTACAAGATGAGGCAGTTCCAAAAACACAGAAGAGACACCCATCTTCCTCACAATGTGCTGACCTACAAATGTTCTCCTTTGACTGCAGACACAAAGCGCCCAGTCTGCTAGGAGAGAAAGACAACAGGTGTGACAGAGGAAGGACAAAGGTAGGAGGGAAACCTAGTAACCCTCATTTTAAGGGGGGAAAACAGGGTGAAAATATCAGACGCAGTCAGATTTTAGATGTCTAAATCATCAATTCACACAGTACGGGAAGAAAAGTAAAAATGACATTTCATCACAATGGGAAAAGAGTAATCCCACAGGTACCACAGAGAGTTGGCAGGATGGCATTCTGTCCTAGAATAGAGCTGTGGAAGAACATTCTTAGCTTTAAAATATATATAATACAGTGTAAGCATCCGAAGAGCTACATTATACATGACAAGAAAGCAACTAAATGGGTTATGCTAGGTCAGGGAGACACAGCATACCTGACTATGAGAAGCAATGTGAAGCAGGCAGCCTACAGCATCAGCAATTCTTTAGGGGTCTTTGGCTAGCAGCATTCAAATCTGAACAGAACATACTTAACAGAAGGTCAACTTCAGGGTTAAAATAGACAATTTAGACAATTTGAGTTCATGGGTGATTTGTGAACAGTTTATCCCAATAGAAATGTTAAACTTAGCTTTGGACGTAATAAATATTCTACAATGGCTTGTTATTACTAATAATCCCTACAGAGTACCTGGAAGCTAAAAACTAAACATTTTTTAAAGAAAGCAGTCACAGCCATGAAGCAGAATATGGAACTCATTCAGGAGATGAGGTGACAGAGAAATGAATCAGAATAAGTCAATATCTAGGTCAATATGACTCTCCTCTTCCTAAATTCCATTAAAAATCTCATTAATTCAGTAGTACACTGCTGAACAAATCTCAAAATTATAAACTTGAATGACATATTTGGACTTCTTTAAAGTTAATTGTTCGTATTTTCTAGAAATCTAACATAATATTTCCTTAGATTGGGAGATAGTTACAACATGGGAGAGAAATTAGCTATAAATAGATGCATCTTTGTTGCTAAAACTTGAATATCTTTACTCGTTAATTCAAACTGCCTTGACTTCTCATGTTTATGCAAAACAGAATTTTGAGGAAAAAAAGAAAGGTACTGTAACATCAGAGGATATCATCAAAGAACTAGTGGTAACATCTTAAGGCTTTTATCAAAGTAGTGAGGGAATGCATTAAAGCAACAATATCTGTAGCTCACGTGTGATGGGACTACTAAGTTTAATAGTGAATCTTAAGAATATATGCGGATATAGTGATTTTTCTGTAAGAACACTCCTATCCAAAGGACTTTTTCCAAATAAGAGAATGCTATTTTTTAAGGCAATTCAAGGGGGGAAAACACCAATATTTCATTAGTAATAGATGCCTCACACTACAAATCAAAAGCTAAAGTTTTTAAAAAAAATATAGATATAGTCACTGTAAGTAAGCTTATTATAAACAACAATAAGCCTATGAGTAAGACAACAGTGTGCTAAAATGAAAACCTGTTAAATTTGGAAATAATGGACAAGGATGTAAGTGAAATAAGGGTTTTTTCTTACAAATTTCACTAAGCAAGCTATGATTGATTTTGAATTATTAATTTCCATTTATCAAAATGGACCAAACATAAACCATCTCTTCTTCTCAAAGAAAATACTCATACATAGTTGCTGTGCTCAAAGAAATCAAATTAACAAGAGCTACTGTGCTTTGGGGTTAATAAAGCTGGATGTGAGTATAGGAGCATGACTGTGTGGAGTGAGACCCTACCAGGTCTTTCTGACTGTAAGCCTAAAAAATAGGAAGCACTTGCTGGAAACCTCAAGCCACCCTGTAATGCAGTTATTTCCTATAATCAAACAGATGTTCTACACTGTCTAAGAGCATGCCATCTGATTTTAGGGTGGAGTTAGAATCTTCCATCCTGAAAACTAAAAAGTTTTAGTCTGCAGTTACAGATTTTGACCTCTGAATAATAAACATTAAAGTAATTTTCCCCAAAGAAGTCGGGACATGAATTCATTAAATAATACAAAGTTATCTTATGAACTTTTTTCACTGTGCCCAGAGCTAATGGTACAGGCTACAAGTCAGAAAAATAACGATTGCTTGTTTCTAATATTACAAGGAATTTGTATAAGACATATTTGAGATACTTATTCTAGATAATAATAATGACAATATGCTAAGTGATAGTCAAAATAAATTTATTTTTACTGTAGTGATATAACACAACATTTATTACTTACCTTGAACATGAAATGTCAATAGTTTGGAGTATTTTACCATAACAGTTATAGGTGCAGAAACAGACTTGACTAACTTACAGTTTACTTACTACAAAACATTTATCAGAATAGGTGCTTATTTTCTCGGGCTACTCTTCTGTTTCCTCCGTTCATTCCTTCCCCACTCTTATTTGGGAAGCATGTTTAAGGTTAAGGAATGAAGTCAATTGCCTGCTTGTGGTCAAAAGCCAGACTGTGTGCATGATTCTCTAACACTTGAAATGAGTACAGATGCTGACATCACACACCTGTACTCGGGTGTAGAGGGAGGCACAGTCTGCAGTCCTGTTTGTGACTTCCCTATGCCAGATGCAAAATATTCAACTAGGATAAAGAGAATTGTTTTGTTTTGTTTACTTGCACTGAGAAACACTATCTACTTCCATGGAAATGAGGCCAAATTAGGTTTGACCAGTTAGGTGAGAAATTGTGTGAAGGAACCTGAGCAAAAGAGTAATTTAATCCAATGAGTTCCATTGTTTCTTTTTCAGTGACTCCTAAATGCCTACATCGCATAGTGCTAAAAAGGAAAAGTAGTCATTGTTAGAACTTAATCCAAAGGGATTATCCAAAGAAAAGAAAAGGTTGCTCTTACAGCCATTTATGAATAATGTTTCTCTTAATTTCTCACAAAAGCACTGTAGTGGACTCATAATTATGACCCATCTATACCTTAGAACATCACACATAGTGTTTAGAGTTTTATAACTATTTGTTGGATGAATGAAAGTGGAAAACATTTAATATATTCCTTAAACTTTCAGTACAGCTAAACATTTTTTCTTTATTCTAGGCACTTTTCAAAGGAGTATCACATGAACAGTTGAAAACGGAGAAGTCTTTCTACAAATCTAGGAATAACAGTGTGGTACGTTTTATGTTGATAGACATCTAATGGCTTTTAAGCCTGTTATATTTTATATTTATGTGTGTTTGTCTGTATCAGCACACTCAACGTCAATTTTATTGAGGAGAAAATATGTATTGATAGGCTCAAAAATAGCTGTAATTATTTGTTAGTATTTTCATAAAACAGAATTTTCAGTGCTTTCATGGGTTGTTAATTTAATTCTTCCATGAATTTTGGCAAGAATTGTTTACTTTCTATAATTTAGTTTTTCCAGACTAATGCACAAAAGCATTATGTAAATTAACTTTTTATGTAAAGGGACGATGCCTGGACCTTATGTAGAAGACATGCACTATGAGAAAAAAGTAGGAATCAGAGGTTTTGTGCTAAGGAATTGCAAGGTGGGACTTGGGATGTAGGTGATCTGAAGAAGAAGTCAGGGGTGTGACACTTGTCATGTCTCCTAGATGCTCAACATAAAATAAGTGGAGAGAGATAATGTACATGCAAAAAAGTAAGGTTAAGGACAATTGAGAATAGATTTGGAGCCACATGGTGGAGGCCAGTAAGTGCAGGCTGATGCTGGGCACGAAAAAGGGGTAACGAGTCTATGGAAGTTTACTTCTATCTACCTACACATTCTCAACAAAGCAGATCCAAATATTAAATAGAGATGACCACAGCTGGTGACAGAAGAAAAAAACATGAAAAAGTGGTGGAATGAGCCTCTGCTGGGTAGTATAGAGGACCAAGTTGAGGTTCACATTTATGAACTAAAAGCAAAACCTCTCTTTCTTAATGTTTGTATATGGAGTGTCGTAGACTATAGGTGGACAGGTTTGATGGGCAGATGGTTGAATGTATGAGGAGATTTAGGTTCTGTTGATGGCCATAATAGTGATGATGATGATAATAACACAAGCTGTTATAATGCTTACCATAGACCAGAAAAAATTGTGTACTTTACAAACAATATTTGATCACAAAACCTACCTTATGTGGCCTGTCTCATTACCATTTCTATTTTGTTGATGTCCACAACTGAAATAGATTGGAATTGGATTAAAATTACAACTAGTAAATAGTGAAAGCAGTAAAAGGCTCTGGAAATCCAGGCCATCTGCTCTACATAACAATAATTCTATACCACCGTGAAGGACTATGGTGCACATGGAAAAAAAACTAGTAACATTAAAGATGAACATAACAAAATGGCAGATGAAGTAAAAACTGGTGAGGCATTAATTTATTTTCAAAGTAAAAGTCAAATTTTAGAGTTAGGGTATTCTAAGAGACAAATTAGAATGCAGGATGCTTAGAGAATGGGGTACTTAGAATTAGGGACTACATGCTACAAAGAGGTGCACTTGGAATGTTAGGGTCTAGTTAATAATCATATAAAAATATAACCAGTGTAATGAGAATCAAAAAGCGCTGAACAAATATATCATGAGCTAGGGAAATGATTTGATAGTCACTAGTGTGTTGCTCTTTTAGGTGCTCTGGGTCCAGTTGCCAACCCCTATGTTAGGTGGCTCACGCCTGCGTATAACTCCATATCCAGGAAACTGGATGCACCAGCACACATGTGGGATACACAACACACACACACACACACACACACACATACACACACACACACACAAATAACAACAAATATTTAAAAGATAAAAAAACAAAAACAGCAAGGAAGAGACATAAAAATTTAGAAACAGTTATCTGAAGATGCATTGATATTACAAAAATGGATTTAGTTTGGGAAGAATAGTTTAAACCCAGGTCTATAAGGCTACTGAACAAGGAGTTGACACTCCCCTGCTGACTGGTGAGTAACAATCTTGCCAGAACTAACGAACAGAAATGCATTTGAATTTCAGATTTTTGAAAATGAATATTTTAGTGTAAGTATCTTTCAAATGTTGCTTGGAACATATATATGCCAAAATTATTTATTGTTCATCTGAATTTTAAATGTAGCTAAGCATCTTGTATTTTATCTAGAAGCCCTACTAATGGCACCCACATTGCAGATCCCATTTGTCACACTCATACACCAAGTTCCAAAACTGGATATGACAGGTCTTCACCACAAGCATAAATTTAAACAAATAAAATGGGGAACAAAACCTTACCAAGTCAAAGTTCTGCTCCTATTTGCTAAATTATAGCAAATGTATTCCATAATCTTACAACAATATGTTCTCATGAAAATATAAATGCATATGACATTTTATGAAAGCAAAAGTATTTTGATGGCATCAAGTGCAATCTAACATTTTTATCACTGGTTAGGTATGTAGGAAGGTATTAATGGGCAGGCTCCCTACTCATCTCTCTGTTGTTAATTCAGTTTGGTGAACAGTCCAATTATGATGACAGGAAAATAGCCTGTGCATTATCACAAATCAGCTTTCATCTTTGATGTAAATGGGAAAAGATTCTTCTTGGCAACTCCATAGTTACATTTAAAACAAATCTAGTATTGTGTTTGAAGTTATGCTTTTAAAAGTAATGGGTCCCACAATTTGGGATCAATACTGTAAATGTCTGTCATTAAAACATGGCTCTTTTACATTTTACTAATGCTGTTTCATGCTATTTCATTATTAATTTAAACCTTATTGAATTATGTAGAAAAGTTATGAAAGATAGGAAAATACGTACATAAATAGAAAGGTATGTGATTCTAGATAAATTAAACATACAAATATTTTTTAATATTAGCTACATAGTAATTTACATTCTGCTCTAACTCTTTTGGTGTTTTCGTAGTTTGGGCATTTCCTATGAATGAAATAAGTAATATAGTAAATACCCATGAATTAAGCAATACAAAAATACTTAAATAAACATTTTATAAAGCCAAATTATAATTTTTAAAAGAAACTGTATAATTGCATGTAATATTACTGTAAATAATGTTGATTTTTTTCAAAGCAGATTAAAAATTATTGTAGCAAGTAACTCACAATTATACGAATGAACATTGATATTACTATCATTACTTGGTAAATTATAAAACCAAGTATGAGCAGAAACATTCAAAAGACCCCTGCTAATCCATGGGAGATTTAAGAACAAGATATTCTCATTATTGCATCTACAACCTTTCTAGTCCAGTGGCCTATGTGTTCAGATAATTCTGTCCCATACATGTTATACTCTACGATCACTTGCCTTTGTTGAAATTATAATTAACAGCTGTTAAAAACACCCATTGGTATTTTTACAATACAAATAGGTATTTTTTTAGCCTTCATCAGAGAAGCTCCTGTTTTTCAGTGGGTGATGATTAATCCAGAGATTCAAAGAAGCCAGAAAATGAGTAATTATGAAGTGCTCAACACTAAATGGGACATCTGTAGCACACTCTCCCACATGGCTCAGGAAACACTGAAGAAAATGAAGAGGAAAGACTCTGAGCATCATAGTTGGGGTGGGCTGCTGTGCAACAGTGTCTTCTGGACATGACAATAATGCTGCGTTCATGAACCCACAGTCTCTCTGTTTGACCTACATAAGATGAAGCCAGGTAACATTTCAGTACAAATGAGAAAGAACTCAGAGAGCCACAATCCTATCTGAGGAGCATTGGCAGTGTCTGGAAACTATTTAAGAAGACTATTTCTTCTGGAAAGTGGGACCTAATAGGTTTCCCGTGCTCCAGTTGGGAGTCCTACACCCGTGTATTTGTATACAATACTGATTACAATCAATGAGCTCTGAAGAGAGGACATGAGTTGAGAGGAGGATGTGGTGGGGGGATTGGAAACGGAATTGGGAGATGAGGAGGGATTATGTAATCTAAATATATTTCAAATGTGTATGAATTTTCAAAGAATGAAATGGTTTAAACACTTCATGGAGGACTGGGGAGATAGCAAGTGAAGAACATGTCTGTCACACAATAGAAACTATAAATTCAAATTCCAGCAAGCACATCATAGGCAGGGCTCTGTGGGATCCTTCCTTGACAGCACATCTTGGGAGTCAGAAGTCAGAAACAGGCAGACCATACCTGAAGATCATTGTCCAGCCAGCCCAGCCAACTCAAGGAACTTGAGGCTCTGTGAGAGACTGTATCTCTAAAAGTAAAGTGGGAAAGATGGAGAGAGACACCTGATATCAACCACTGATGCCCAGGCACACAAGATTGTTAATATGTTGCTGAAATCTCACTAAAGTAGTAATTTAAATACTTTCCAAGACTGTACTGTTTGATATTACTAAGAAAACTCACAGGAATCAGTAACTCTAAATGGAACCAAATAAAACAAAGACAAAGTGCTTCAAACACAAGCTTTCAATAGAATGCACACTGAAAAAAAGGGAGTGATTCCTAAGCGATAGAAAGTCAAAAAGGAAGAAAAGTGAACCTAGTGGCCACCCTAGCTTAAAACCCCAAGTTTCCAGGCTGTGGTTCAGAGGTGAGGAAGTCTGATAGCATAGACCAAACAGGTCAGAATATCAAAGGCAAAGTGCCCTAGAGAGAGGAGGTGAAGCTATCCTCCTGAAAGTAGTTAGCTACATTCTGATTAAAAGGGCAATGCAAGGAAAATACTAGAAAAGAAGGCAGCTGCCTGCTAGAGCTAAGTGTCCAGGTCTTACACTGAACCAAGAATATTGTCACTTCCCACAATCCATCCTGAAAATCTTCCCGTCTTGGGGTCTGAGGCAGGAAAGATTTTGCCTCTGTTAGGTGAATAGTGTTAGCTGCAAATACTATCATTTCCTTGTTTGTAAAGACTGAATAATACCCTCTTGGGTGTATACACTACATTTTCTTTATGTATTATTTTGTTAATGGATATTAAAACTTATTCCATGTCTTTGGTTACTTTGACTAATGCTAAAATGAACACAAGGTATCTCATTAACATAACTGTTTTCTTTTGGCATGTTCCCCAGTGAAATAAAAGATGCACAAAAAGACAAACACTGAATGACCTCACTGATACATGCAATCCAAAAATGGCCTCAGAAGACAAAAGAATAGAATGTAGATTGTGGAACACTGGTGAGAACATAGAGAGATGTTGATCAAAGGACACAAAAGTTGAGTTAGACAGAGGAATGAATTCAACAGACATGTTGTGCATCCTGACAACTATTCTTGAAAACTGCCAGAAAAATAGACTTTGTGTTCTTATTTTTAAAATCTGAATATTTTTATAGTTAAAGTCATATATTAAGTTTTAAAATATATTATGCTTAAGAAATACATATAATTTTTATTTGCCAACAAAATTACTAATTAAAAATGTACCCTTTCCAGGTATGTAGTTTGCTCTATGTGAATAAAACTTCAATAAACCTCTAATGAGCAGAACCCAGAAGATCACATAGGAAAGAAAAGAAAAAGAAAAGTTATGAAAAGTTAAAAGCAACTGACTAAATGGCACCGAAAAAAAATAAAAGTAAAATAACAGCTAGGATCAAGGACAGTCAAGAAGGTCTTAGTGTTGTACCCAAAGCTCTAGATTTTTCCCAGATACGTCTGGAGATTACAAATGAAATGCTCATATGCAAGATAATTAAAATGCCATCGGGAGTGGGGGCTTGAGAAATTACTCACAAGCCAATAGTATATACTGCTCTTTCAGAGGACCTGGGTTCAGGTGCCAGCATCCTCCTGGGATGATTTACAGCTGTCTGTAACTCCTGCTCCTATGGGTCTGACTCCCTCTTCTGGCATCTTCAGGTACTCACATAGACACACTCCTCCAACCCCCTTCAACCACCCACACACAAAGAGGTGAGACAGACTGTGATGTGAAGAATGATAAATAAAACTTATGGAAAATTCTGAGAATTTAAGGATATGAATTAAAATCCTAAAATGACCCAGTAAGGATAAGACATAAAAATGGGTGGTATAAAAAATGAATCCTACAAGTCTGGGGAAGGAGAGACAAAAAGCTAAAGCTACGGTGACTTTTTTACTTTTTCATATCTATCATTTAAAACCTCTGAAAGAAAAGTTTCTACCATACAGACAAGGAAATGGGCCAAAACATGTGTGAGGCGGGGCAAGGAATCTCAGATATGAGGAAGAAGCTGTGCTCTGAGGCTACAGGTGGAGAGATCCTGTGTGACAACTCTGTCCCAGCTGTCAAGTGTAACCAGTCTGTATTGTAAAGTGGCATTTCTCCCAACCCTTGTTGCAACATGAAATTACATTAAACTGGTGTAATTTTAAATCTGTGGAAAAACTGCAGACAGTCCTAGAAAGACTTGGCCTCTGAATCAATTGCTAATCAATAGAAAATGGATTTAAATAGACAATAAGAATAATTTGTAACTCCACGAGACACAGGCCTTGAATTAACCAAATAACAACACAATTATACTAGGGAAACTGCATTGTGGGGGTGAGTAAAAAAGTCACATTCAATCCTTTAGACTTGTAAATCAACTGATAATAGCTAAAATTGACAAACTCCACACTATTAAGACTTTATTTGTACCTAACAAATAAGCTAAAGTTACGTTAATATAATTGCCTGAGGCAGCCGGGCTGTGGTGGCACACGCCTTTAATCCCAGCACTTGGGAGGCAGAGGCAGGCAGATCTCTGTGAGTTCGAGGCCAGGCTGGACTGACAGCCTCCAAAACAATACAGAGAAACCCTGTCTCATAAAAACATATATATATATATATATATATATATATATATATATATATTTGCCTGAGGTGGAGAAGAGGGAAGGTAGAGTAGACTGCTTGATTTCCTAGCCTTCGTGAACTCCTGTTGGTTTTATGAAAATGGCAACCAGAACCATATTTCTCTCTATTACCAATGTTTAAATACTGCATATTCACACAGAAAGGCATGAATTAGAAAGTAACTTCGTGAGCCTAGCTTTTAACGGCTGAGCCATCTCTCCAGCCCAGAAAGTAACTTCATAAAGAATACATCACATTCTGGATGCCCTGGTCTTCATTCTATTCTGTATGAATAGATAATGTAAGGTATCAAAGAGTGTGTACATATTTGTGCATGGATTTACTGTGAGGAGTACAAAAGAACAGTGATCTCCTGATGACCCTACAGAGAATCATACTGCCCTCTGCAGTAGAATAGAAACACAACAGTTTCCACTAGCATTAGCATCCTTTAAAAGGGGGGAAAAAACCACTTGTCACAAAACAAATACAAATTCAACTGGTGAATATGTATACTCAGTATAGAGGGGAGAGGGGGACATGGGGGAGCAGGAAGGTTGAGTTGGGGAAAGAATAGCAGAGAGCAGGATAAGAGATAACATAATAGAAGGAGTCATTATAGGTTTGAGGAGAGATCTGGCACTAGTGAGATTTCCAGAGATCTACATGGATGATACCAATTGGCAAACTAAGCAATAGTGGAGAGACTACCTTAAATGCCCCTCCATGATAATAAGCTTAACGTCTACCTTGTATGCCATCCTAGAACCTTCACCCAGTGACTGATGAAAGCAGAGGCAGATACCCACAGCTAAACAGTGAACTGAGTTCCTGGAACCCAATGACAGAGTGGGAGGACTGATGAGCAAAGGGATCAAGATTGGGCTGGTGGAACCCACAGAAACAGCTGACCTGAACAAGGGGGAGCTCTTGAACCACAGACTGATGGCTGGGAATCCAGCATGGGACTGACCCAGATCCCTGAATGTGGGAGTCAGTGAGGAGGCCTAGGCAATCTATGGGGCCTTGGGAAGTAGATCAGTATTTATCCCTGGCATACAAATGGACTTTGGGTGTCCATCCCACAATGAGGGATGCTCTTTCAGCCTGGACTCTTGTGGGAGGTCCAAGGCCCTTCCCTGAATGAAATGACAGACTCTGGAGATCCTCCATGGAGGGCCTCACCCTCCCTGGGGAATGGAGTGGGGATTGGGTGGGTGGAGGGACTGGGGAAACTGGTTGGGAAGCAGGGGAAGGGGGGAGGGACAGGGAGCTGGGATTGACATGGGAAGCAAGCTTGTTTCTAATTCAAATTAAAAAATTAAATATATATACATGTATATATACATATATGTAACAATAGTAATCAAAGAAAAACAGGCTGTCAACTTTGGAGTGGGAGAGGGCTTTGGAGGGGTAGAAGGATGATAAATCAGATGGGCTGGAGGAAGAAGGGGAAAAAAGGGAAGTGATGTAACTCTATTTCATTTCAAATAAACAGGTAATTTCATATAAAATATAAAAGTAAGGCAACCTTAATGAAACTAATAGCTTACCCAACAGAAAATAAATCAAAGAGAAAGAGACTACATGGGGAGGAAAGGGTGGTGCATGAATTGTGTTGTTGATGTCTGTTCTAAAACTGGTGAAGAAAAAAAAGCCTCCTGTTCATATCACTCTATGATCCTGGGGCATTCTATGCTTCATGAAGACTGAACTCACTCAAGTCTAGTGAACTTTAGAAGCACTTAGCCGGCACCCCCTCACTCTAATCCTAGGTCCATCACAAAGCTGGTCTATAAAGATCAAGTGTGTCCCTTGGATAGTACCTGCGATTGTTAAATTTCTCATTGGAAATTAATGCAATTTACAAGTTTCTTTTGATCTAGGTTAATGTAAGCCTATCCCTGAGAGATTAAACAACATTTAATATGATAGAAAATAAGTGTTTTTTAGTTTGCAATTATTGGTTAGTGAAGATGAAACAGTATATTGTGTTTTCAAAACTGCCAGGTAATACACACACACACACAGGAGATAAATCTAGAGAGCAATATTTCCCCTAATTTTTAAATGTCAAAGTACATCTGGGAATGAAAACTTCCTTTCTCTGAGTTGTAATAAGCCTGGGGACAAGTGTAAAATGCTTTAGGGCTTTGAACTTCACTGGGGAAGTACAAACTAGTCCAGATGAAGCAATTTAACAAAATTGTAATTGTTTTGTGCATTTTTGATGCACTTATGACTTTAAACTTTTTTAACTCTAGATTTCAATGTGGAGCATGGATTATATCTATGTGAACACAGTCACATCCACGATGGGAAGGGTATCCTGGTGGTTTTGAAAGGACAATTGCCAAGGTTTAGGTTATTCCCTAGGGACAGTTTACACACAGACAATATATAATTCAATAAGTAAGACAGCAGTTATTTAACAGTCATATCATATCTTGATGACCAAGTAGAATTTTCAGTGAAATCTTTAACATCCACTCCAAAAATTATTTGTATTTAAGGAGGCAGAATATGTTATCAGGTAAAATGTTATGAGTGGTAAAAATGCATCCAGGAAGATAGTTGAGCAAGGGTGAAGCACTTGCCATACAGGATTGAAGACAAGAGTTTGATGTCTGGAACCCAGGGTGGCAGGAGAGAACCACCTCTGAGTCTACATGAATGCTGAGGAACATGCGATCCCTTGCTCATACATACACTACATGTACACATGTATTAACAATAGGAAAAATATAAGGTGTGAAAATGAATTTCAATGGACATTTAAACTCTTGTTCATTTACTAACATGTTCTAGATTTTAATATGCACATGTAGAGTCTTACAAAGCATGATAAGAAAAATCCCAGGGACAACCTGCCAGGCCAGAAGCAAGAGGCCATCAGAGTTGGGGCAAGGGCAAAGGAACTTGTCTTTCACAGTTTAAGTTTCTCAAGACTCTCTCGTTTCCCACGAATTTTGTCTTACTCATTTCAGATGGTTAAACATGACCCAGTTTCCCTGGATGTTTCTGTCTCCAGCAGGAAGGAATCAGTGATATCAAGTGACGATTTGAGAAGATCAGCAAAGCTTAAGTTTCTTATTTCAGCATAACCCAATGTTACCCATCTCAATGAACAATCAACCACTCTTAACTCTGCTTTATAAAACAAAAGATGAACCAAAAATGAATACCAGAAGATAAATATAAAACATGCTACAGTTACTCAGCCAAGATTCCTGGATATCCATGACTACAAGCATTTTCACTCAATGAATTTTACATTCCGTTGCTCAGACCACGTATACAGGGTAAGTTTCCATCATACAGATTGATCTGCTGTGCATTACCCGGTGAAACTGCTTTGGATATTGACACATGTCGGCTCTCCATCAGCATGCATTCATTGTCAAATTATCAATTAGTTTTGAAATCTACTACGTAGCAATTGCAATTATTGCTAAACTCACTTTACCTAATTTACTTTAGTCAAAATGAACCTTTTCCTTGACTAAGTCTTCATTTACTCTTCATTGACTAATAAAGCATTTTCATCTTAAGATACAGCATTCAACTTGCAATTTGTTCATTGATATATTCAGTGCCCTGATAAAGCACGGAAAGGGAGATGAGGCAATTTCATTGTAACTTAGGTTTCCTTGTGTCACCTATACTGTCCCTTCACTCATAATCTTGTCCCTAAGTTTTCTCACAATTTTCTCCTTCAAAAGTCCTACTCTGTCTGTGCAAAGAACCAAAGAGACTTTAAAAAGAATCTATCAATTCAGATGTGCACCATGGGGGTCTTTTTTCTTGTTTGCTTTGAAGGAGGTTAATATCTGTATCTCAAATGAATGCCTAATTTTGTGAATTGTCCTAAAATGAAATGAGGATTTCAAACAAGACTGAAGCAATTTCATGTCTGGGCTTTGAAGACAGATGTGGAGAGTGGGAACAACTTGCTTCCCTTAAATTGAGTAAACGGAAAATTGTTCCTTTTTGCTGTAAGTCTAGCCCCAATCTCACTAGAGCTAGACAAATTATATCAGTGTTACTAATTCTGTGACTGTATAGTCTGGTTAATTTGCACATAAGTGCAACCTAAAATAAGTATTCAGATAATCTGGCTTTAAAAGCCTGCAACAATATGAAAGCATGCATGTGTTGTGGGAATGCAAGTAGGTGAGAAGATAAAACTTAAATGCTTACTTGTGTCTGAATAATCAAGCTATGTTCCTGGTTATAAAGAGTTCTAATACTCTAAATTATATATGCAATGTATTTTAGTCCTACTTTAATGGCTAAATTGGGATTTTGTTGTTGTTTTGTTTTCTTTTCTGAGGCAGGGTTTCTCTGTAACAGCCTTGGTTGTCCTGGAACTTACTTTATAGACCAGGTTGGCCTCGAACTTACAGAGATCCTCCTGCCTCTGTCTCCCAAGTGCTGGGATCATAAGCATGTACCACCACTGCCCTGCTGGAATTTTTTGAAGTATGAGAGAAAAAAAAGTTCATTTACATATATATAAGTAGACTATCTGCGAATGATGATTTTAGCAATACTATCAAAATGCTTTATCCCCCTAAGTCTTAAACAGCAAAAACCACACAACTAAGTGAGAAGAAGACTGTTGGTGGCCTAGCAGATACATTCAGTTCTTGTGTGTGAGCATACCACCCTAAGCATGCACAATCTCACTTGATGGAGCCACTTCCACTTCTTTATTGTGAAGGCACACTCAGTTTTCATACACAATCATACTTTCTGGGGAAAAAAAGATATATTGAGTCAGACCATTGCAATGAATAAATAAATAAATACTGCAAATGAATGCTAGCCATGAATGTAATGAGATAATACAAATGCAACTGCAACTTTAAGAATAAGGAAAATATGTAATTCTTCAAGCTTGCTAACGAGGCTTGTGTTTTAAATTTTTCGTACCTTGATTTTTTTAGCAGTGCCCTGAGCTCTCACATACAAACATATCTCCCAAATTAAGGGAAATAGAAACATAAAAGCATAAAGAGGAAGAAAACAGTTGAGACTGTAGCTCAGTAGTAGAGTATCTGCCCAGCTTCCCAGCATGTGCAAAGCCCTGGTTTCAAACCCAAGCATCACACATACACACACACACGCACACATGCACACACAGACACACACACACATGCACATGCACACCCACATACACACACACACACACAGACACACACACGCACGCACACACATACACACACACACACAAAGCAACGATGCTCAAATTGATTCTTTATGTGAGGAGAACCAATAAAATGAGTAAATCTTTTGGGAAATTTGATTAAAAGGCAGAAAATCCACAAACAGTATGACAAATTAAGAGGATGACTACAAATAAAGATAAAAAAAGCTAAGAGAGTGCTGGTAATATCCACATTGTCACACTGTGTAAACAACAACATTTACAAATTCTGAACTTGTCTCCTCAGAACTGATTATAATAAACGAAGAGCTCCAGGCATGCAATACACTTGATACACATTCTTTAACACGCTGATGATAAAGACATGGGAGACACTGAAGAATCCATCTTCTGAAGCTCTGGGGAACCTTACCCCTGGATTGACAGAAACTATTCATCAGAAGTTTAAAAACCCTCTGCTGTGACACATAAACTGTAGGTTTAGGTGGATGTTGATTTAACATTTTTTGTCACCTTCATCACCAGCTTAATCTTACTCTGGGAAATGTGTCAATACTTTGAAAATCTTCTACTTTACTTTTCCCACTGTCCCTGTCTTAGCTGTTAGACTTTTGAGTTCTTGACTGAAGCCAGACAACAACTGTTTAAGCTCTCTTATACAGCCACAATTAATCCATCTTTCTACTAACTAGTTTTAAAACAATTTCAGATGTTCTCCTCAAAATACTGGTCTAGCATAACTTTAATATATCAAGATATTTGACCACTTTTAGCATCTAGGAATTTGTGATAATTCTTTTATATCTACTTCTTATTTAAAAGTTTAAACATATAAAAATACTAACATATTCATTTATACCAGTAGTTCTCAACCTTGCTGATGCTCTGACCCTTTAATACAGTTCTTCGTGTTGTGACCTCCAACCATAAAATTATTTTATTGCTACTTCATAACTGTAATTTTGTTACTATTATGAATTGTAATGTAAATATCTGTGTTTTCCAATGACCTTATAGGAACCCCATGAAAAGGTTGTTTGAACCATGAAGGGGTCATGATCCACAGGTTGAGAACTGTATTTATACAATGGAACAAACTCATTTCTAAAATGTAAAAATAAGACAAATTCATGTACACAATTATTTCATATATAAATACATAAACACATGAAATGAATAATATGATTTGAAACAATATAAACACATATTTATATGTAAATAAATATGCAAACATTTTAAAATGTCCAAATAAATCCAATTGCATTCTCAATGAAACATACTTAATGCAACATCTTTTCTTGAATTAAAATTTAAAATATATTCATTCATTACTTTTTGGACACAGATAAACCAGAAGGTAAAATTAATTTAAACCTAAAGCTATGTTATTTTTGACACACATGCCAAAAATATGCATTAAAGACAGCACCGTTAACCAAAGGTGTTGGGAAAACTGGGTATCTACACATAGAAGAATGAAACCTGACATTTCTAATCCTGAACACACATAAATTTCAAGAGAATCAAAGATCTTAGTGTTTGAGCTGAAACTTGAACTTGTAGAAGAAAGGGTGGGAAGAGCGCTTCAAAATACAGGTTCAGGTAAGTACTTTCTAAACAGGACTTCAGGCACCCAAGAAATACAACCAACAAGCACCAGGTGAGACTTCATGATATCTCAGTGGTCTATACTGCAAAGGAAACTTGATGATTTGACAAAGCAGCCTACAGAATGGGAAAAACGCTCCAGCTATACATCTGACAGAGGATCCATGTCTAGTGTATCCACAGAACTCAGGCAACAAGACACCAGGCAACCAACAGCCTAACAAAGAAGTGGGTTATGGAACTGAACTACAGAATTCTAAGAATAATAAGAAGCACAAACAGCTAAGAAATAGTTTTTTGAAATGTTCACCATCTTTAGTCAACAGAGATATGCAAATTAAAACTACTGAGAGATCCTGCCTTACTCCAGACAAAATGACTAACCTTAAGATAAGAAAGCACAATTCCTACTGAAGATGCAAGAAATTGGATCCCTCCAGCAGTGCTGATGGAAGTGCAAACTGGGTAATCACTATGGGAATCAGTGTAGCAGATTCTTAAGAAAACTAGAACTAGATCTATCATGTGACCCAATTGTATACTCTAGGGCATATTCCCAAAGGAGTATTTCCTAATACAGGAGTACAATGTCATCTATGTTGGTATATGAAATATTCTCAGTATCTAGTACATGAAATTAGCCTAGTTGTCCATCAACTGATGAGTGCATACTAAAAATGTTGTATGATGGATGCTCATTTCATTATAAATAAAAATGAAATAAAGTGAAAATGCATGTGGGTGATAGTACACTAAGTGAGGAAACCATAAGGACAAACATTGCAAGGTCTTAGTCACATGTGGACTGTAACATCAAACTTTAGATGTCCGTTTATCTTGGCATACTCGTAAATACAGGAAACCAGAGAGGATCAACTGGTGAGGAGTGGAAAAGATGATCTAAATGGGTAAGTGATATAAATGAGAAAAGTTGAGTAATGGGAACATGTCCTAGTTGGCTTGCTATTGTGGTAAACACTATGATAAAACCAACTTGGGGAGGAAGGGATTTATTTTGGCTTATACCACTATCGAAATCCACCATTGAGGGAACTATGGGATAGGATTTAAATAGGAACTGAAGTGAGAATGATGAAGGAATTCTGCCTATTGGCTACTTTTCATGTCTTACTCAGTCTGTTTTTTTTTTTTTTTTACACAACCCAGGACCGGTAGGCTGGGCCTTCCTACATCAATCATTAGTTAAGAAAACACCCCACAGTCTTAGCTACAGGCCAATCCAATGGAGCCAATTCTTCAATAGAGAGGATCCACTTCCACGATACCTCTACCTTGGGTCAACTTGACAAAAAAATATATGGACTAGATTAAGTTTCAATGTCAAAAGAAAATTAAAAAAGAAAAACCTTTAAAGCAATAAGGCTCTTCGGCAGCCAAGTACGGAACACCCTTCAATAACTGTATCAAATTTGGTCACGTTACTGGGTATTTGACTTTTATCAGGAAAGTAAGGGAGGAAAAAAATCTCTTCTAAATGTGTCTGAAAAAAAGTCTAATAAAAGGTCAAATACAGTAGAGACTCCAAAGCACCACTCACACAGGCTAACATTCAAGTAATGAACAATAAAATTTGCTAAATATATGCCACTAAATTATAAACATGGGACAGTCTGTGTCCTCTTTGCAAAATGCTTAAAGGAAAGATGGGCAAAATTTCAGCAACAAAATATATTCACACAGCATTTTAATCTGCTTTATTTGATTTTTATGTAAGAAAATGATCTTTTAATGACGTGTTTAACATACTAAGAG